AAACTTCCGAACGAGTACTATATGCAGTATCACCAAGTGCTCAACTGGTGACGTCTGAATCTCAAGGTCGGTCAAAAATGGGGTGTCTACAGAAACATTTACACTGTCATTATGAACATTAATTGGTGCTTCATCTTATCATTATTAGGGATATTTTGGTAATTATGTCACTCATAGAATTTATTAAAATATAATAAAATAATTGAAATTAAATGAAACATAAGATGATGAAAATGGAATTATCAATAAATGCCCCATTGATATTTAATTTTATATGAAATTATAAATATTATATATTAGTATAATTATATCTATATAATTTACTTAATTATATTTGGATAAATTACAAATACACCCTCTGAGGTTTGCTTAAAATACGAATTGTTCCATGTGGTTTGAAAAATTACAAATACCTCCATGTTAGAATTTTTTACTTAACAGAATTAACTAAAAAAATAAAATTTCTAGCTGTTCTCTTATATAATAGTAAAATTATCTGAATTATTAATTGAAATAAAATTTTAACATCCTTAAAAACTGTTAATTAACTTAATGATTTATTAATAAAAAGACTTATTTGTTATGAAATAAAAACTTTAAGAGCATATTGTAACTTTTAAAACTACAAGGATAATTCGTAATTTAAATGAACTTCAGAGAATATATTTATAATTTACCTATTTTATTTTTATAATATATATTTTTTATTATGGAATTTGTTGAAGGATGGGATTGTAGAGATTTTTAGACTTACGGTTCCGTGTTTTATAATCCCTTTTCTTGTAGCCTAGGCAATCTAGACTTACTTGAGATATTTTTATATTTTTACACTTTGTAAACACTTAAAAAAGTCACATCTTTTTTATTAATTTTTTTGTTTTTAGTAGCTTTTTTTAAAATTATATATATATATATATATATATTTTCTATTTGTCTTGTGTAGATGAATTTAAATTTTAAAAAAAAAAATAAAATAAGCTAAAATAAGCCCAAAAAAATACTACTACTTTTGGCCTCTTTTTTTTTTGAATATTTTTTTAAAAAATTAATTTTTCAATTCATCTCGTCGAACTAAATCTAGAAATTTAAATTTTTTAATTTGTTAATCAAGTCACTAAAGATAAAAATAAGTATATATAAAAAATAAAAAAAACTACTAAATAAGTAAAGAGTTGTTTGGAAAGTTCCAAATTAATATACTTTTTGACTTTTTATGAAAATATTTGAAATGTAGGTTAGGGTTAAAATGATATGATAGAGATGTGATGTGATAAAAATAAAATGATGTGCTAAAATAACACATGTCAAAAAATACCTAAATCTAAATACCCACTTAAACTCAGTCCACATCTAATCCAATCCAAATTTGACTCAACTTAATGTTTGTTCAGCATTACTATTATCAGCCTTGGATCAGAATTATTTGGGTCAAATAAAAAAGAATGCTGATATTTGACGACTCTCATTTAATAATATTCAATCAAATTTTATAGGTTAAAATTTTACCATAGAATATAATGCCTTGTTTGATATGAGCATGGTGTGCCTTGTTCGAGGGCAAATTATTTAATATTTTTTGAGTATCATGTATTTATATTTTTTAATCAATTATCATTTAATATATTTTTTATGTTTCTCAATCACTCGACATGATATCTCATCTACTCACCTTCTTCACAAATCATAATAATATGAAATATTACGTGTCTATATTATGAAATTACTGAATAATTACCCTTGTTCGAGATCATACAAAGCTATAAAGTCGACCTTCTTCCCAATAAAAAAACAAATTAATTAAATATTGAAATATTTTAATAATTTTGCATCAAATCCAGATCAAATTATCAAAACACTCACACGAGAGAATATTAAAATTCTCATCAGTTCAATTGGGGTCTCTATCTCTTTTGAATATATTAATACAACTAACAAGATATTTTACATTTGTTTATAGTCATAATCCAAAAAGGTAGGAGGTAAGGTAAGATTTTTTTAGACTGTAGAATATATATATATATTTTATTTTTTTTTGAGATTAAGGCTTGTTTTGAAAAATTAGTTAATTTTTTTTTTTTTTTGGGAAAAAGCGTGTAAAAAAAAAGAAGAAGAAAAAATGTGACCAAAAATAAGTTAAAAGTCAAAATTTGATTTTTAACCAATTTTCCAAATTATTAAAAGCCAAAATTTCACTTCTAACCAAGTTCCCAAGTCTAAGTGTGGATAGAATTGGATAGAGAAAATATTATGGGAACAAAAGTTGAGAAGTACATATTTGTACACCACCAATCCGCTCACTTTACATTATTACTATTATTCTTTTATCATTTTGTCCTTCAAGTAAATTATCATCTAGGATAAAATGTACACATTTCGCTTTCTTTTTTCTTTTTGTGTGGATAATTGGGTATCTAGGCACCTTTCTCTTACCACCGTTGATCTCAAATATCGTGACCTCCCTCTTTTGTTACTCACCATTGTTAATTGCCAACCATCATGATAAACCCCGTCATTATCTAGAAAAAAAAAGGATTAGTAAAGGTAAAGGGCTAGGTTTTCACATTTGAAGGGGGAGGTGGGGCACAAAAGAGATGAGGTTGGAGAAGGGGCAATTGCAAAAGAAGAGAGTGGTGTATGTAAGGACGTTGGGGAGAAAAAGGATTGGAGTAAGGTTGGAAGGCACTTGAAAATGAGAATATAGAGAGAGAAGGGGGTTGGAAAGGGTGTTGACATTGATACGAGTAGCGGGTGGTGGTTAATGGGGTTTGGTTTAGTTTTAGAATTTGATGGATGAATGTGATGGTATTATAGGGATTAAGTGGTAAGAATTGAGTAAAAGTAAAAAATAAAATTATGTATCAAATAATGGTGTAAATTGAGATAAAATGATATATACATAAATAAAAGTTATCAAAAGTTGAAATAAATATTGAGTATAATAGTTAACAAGATTGAATATTTTAAAGTTATGGTAGTGTGATGGTATTACGGTAATGAAAATTACATTATTAAATTAATCAAAGATAAAAATTGTCCATTTAATTTTATTTATTGATCAGTGACTATTGCTCTCAACAATTATTGAAAAAAATTAGAAGACAGTAGAGAAATGAAAAAATTATTTACCACAAGGTGAGATGTAATTTTTACTATAATTTCTTTACCCATAAAAAAATTACACACCCCATATATTTGTAAGTATTTTTAATATTCTACATTCGTTTGTAATTTTTCACAAAAGTTCAACTATTTCTCTTGGCAAAACTATCCGGCCTAGTTCTATTTAATCCAATCCAATATTAATAAAAAAATATTTGGGGAGACCATTGTTAAATTATAGAGTTAGGAAAATCAAAACTCTCCACATTAAAATAAAATAAAATTATATCATAAAAATAAGGATAAGTTACCAATATACCTACTGAGATTTGATTAAAATACGAATCGCCCCTATGATTTTGAAAATTATATTTCACCCCAGAAGTTTCTAATTTCATAATAAATCACCCATTTTATTAATAAATCATCGAGTCAAGTAACAGTTTTTTATGATGTTAAAAATATGTTTCAATTTATAATTTAAGTAATTTTATTATTATATAGAAGAGCAATTATGAATTTCATTTTTTTACTTGATTTTGTTAAATAAAAAATTCTAATAAGAGGGTATTTGTAATTTTTCAAACCACAAAAAATAATCTGTATTTTAATTGTCCGGTAAATTTTAAATAAATTATATTTTATTTCAATTTTTTTTTAGTGATTTTTTAAATTTAAAATTATGTCAATTTTTTTTTCATTGATTTTTTTTATTTGAAAAAAGATTTAACTTAAATATTGACTCAAACATCCAACAGTTTGGTAAATAACACTGTTAAAATATGATGAGATTTTTTTTAAAGATTGTTTGATTTTGAGATTTTAAAAATGATTTTTATTTTTTTTGCTTTTCGTGAATCTTTTAAATATTTTTTTAAAATATGTTTCTTAACTTATATGGACTTAAAAAATAAAATATTTGTAAAGAAATTTAAAAAAAAAAATTTGTATTTAGTGATTTTTTAAAATTATGTTCTTATTTTTTTAATTTTTAGGTATATTTAAATCAAATAAATTTTAAAAGTAAAAAATGAAACTATTTTAGCATAATTTGTGAATATAATTTATATGTATTATAGAACTTTTTTTAAAAAAATCAAACTATTTTAACATAATTTGTGATTTTTTATTTTTTTTATTTTTTGTGATTAAAACTCATTTGAAATTGACTTAAATGATAAACAAACTAAACTTTTAATATATTTTTTAAGCTCGTTAATTTTTAATTGTCAGGAAAATTTTAAATAAATTATATTTTATTTCTTTTTTTTTTGTTTTTAGTGATTTTTTTTATTTAAAATTATGTCAATTTTTTATTTTTCTAGTCTACATGAATCTAAAGGTAACATTATTTTTTAAAAAAATCAAAATATAAACTGGTAAAACTTCCACCATAATATCACTATCAACTAAAAATCATAATCCATAATATCACTATCAACTAAAAATCATAATAATAGACATAAATACAATAAATAAATAAATAAATAAAAATAAAAACAACTTTGAAAGCATTTACATTTGTGCATAACATCTTCACGTTAGCAAAGAACCCTTCTTGCTTGTACAGCATCAACAACCGCCACCGATCTCTCCCCGGCGCCACCGTCACGCCTTCTCCGGCTACCGTCGGATTCACTCTTCCAGTCTCAGAGGCCTTCTTGTTGTTCTTCTTACATCTCTCCGGCGACTCCACCACCGCTGGAGACGCATTAGATGCCAGAACTCCGTCGAGCTCATTTCTGCCAAAAATGGGAAAAATAGGCCTGATCTCATCGGCAAAGGTGGGGAACTCAAAATCATCAGTCTTGTGGTTTTTACTTCTTAACTGTTCTTCCAGATCACTATTCTGGTTCCGTGGTGAGTCCACCTCCCGTTCTAGGTCCTTCATCTTCCGTTGATCAACAATTTTTTTTTTCTGACTCCTCTTCGATTGTTTCTTTCAATTCTCTGACCCTGTTCTTTGCACCTTGAAACACGTTTAGAATTTCATAAACAAGGCTCTCAATGTAGCCGTAGTCTTCCTCAATCGTGCTGAGATTCTCCATCAGCAACTTCACCTTATCTCTTTTCTGGGTACGCAGAGAGTCCAGCTTAAGTTCTAAACCCCTTATTCGAGCTGATGTTTCACTCTTATGGGTCTCATGTATCTCGGTGTGACTCGCAAGTTCCCTTTCTCTCTTACCCAGTTTCTCTTTCAGCTGGCTACATTCAGTGACAAGTTCTTGTAAAAGCTTTGAATTCTAACCATTTAACGTTTCAGCTTCCATCTTTAAATCACTGATCATCTTCTCCGCTTCCTTCTCTTTAGTAGTTTCTGTCAACTTTCTTTTCAAGTCAACCACTTAAAGTTCTTCTTTAAAGTCATCTGTCACCTTTTGAAACTCATTTTGCAATTTTCCATTTTTACTGCCCTTTTCCTTTGAAGAATAAGCTGAATCCGAGTCCAAGTTGGAGGAAGAAAAAGAAAAAGAATAATCTGTATTCCTATCTTTTTCATCTTCATCTTCTTTCTCCTTCTCCTCAAGTTTCTTCAGAAGACTGGAAAGCTCATCAGCTTTATGTTTTTCAATCTCTCCTTTCTGGGTATGCAGAGAATCCAACTCAAGTTCTAAACCCTTCATTCGAGCTGATGTTTCACTCTTATGGGTCTCATGTATCTCGGTGTGACTCGCAAGTTCCTTTTCTCTCTCACCCAATTTCTCCCTCAGCTGGCTATATTCGGTGACAAGTTCTTGTAAAAGCTTTGAATTCTCACCATTCAACGTTTCAGCTTCCATCTTTAAATCACTGATCATCTTCTCTGCTTCCTTCTCTTCAGTAGTTTCTGTCAACTCCCTTTTCAAGTCAGCCACTTGAAGTTCTTGCTTAATGTCATCTGTCACCTCCTGAAACTCATTTTGCAATTCTCCATTTTTACTGCCCTTTTCCTTTGAAGAGTAAGCTGAATCCGAGTCTAAGCCGGAGGAAGAAAAATAAGAAAAACAATCTGTATTCCCATCTTTTTCATCCTCAACTAATGTCTTCTCTACCGACTTCTCGCCGCAGTTGCCAAAAATGGATCGAAGAAACCGAGAAAATTTTGAGGGTTTTTTAATAATGAATTGTTATGGTTGTTGAAAAAAAATAAGTTGCTCATCCATTGTAATTCTTGGGAAAAAAGACAGAAGACAGAGATGTAATTCTTGGGAAAAAAGACAGAAGGAAGACAGAGATTGTTACACTACTTTAGAGGGAGTGGCTTTTATCGTGAAACGTAGTTCATTTTTTTCCATATTCTTGACAAAGGTAGGTTCTTTTTTCCATATAAAATTGGGATATCAAATGGAAAGTATTGACATTTCCATTCCAACATTTCTCAAATGGAAGGTAGGTTCTTGTTACACTCTCTCTCTCTGAGTGTGTGTATGTGTGTGTGTGGGAGAGATGAAATTCATGATCAACATTTCTTAAATTGCAAAGTTAAAATTTCGTATTTTTCCAAATTTATTATATATCATACATATGAATGTTTATATATTTTGTAACTTAAAACATCAAGATATCTTGTATGTTGCAATTACATTCTAAGGAATGCAAAACAATTATAGAAATTGTAATACACATGTTATATGCATCTTATAAATATTTCAAAATATATTTAGAAGAACGCATAAATTGTGTTATGAAGAATGCAGAACATTGTTAATAAGACAAAAGTTATCACTTATGACATGTTCAGAGGGATTAAGAAGTATCGCTGAAGTATCGTGATCACCATACGTTTCCTCCGCTGAAGTGTCTGTTCCTTTTAGATTATAAATGCACTGTCTTTTAATTCCAAAACTCATGATGAATTGGCACTTCGAAAATGTATCCTTTAATTCTTTTGCAAGATAGAAGAATGAACTACGATGAGTTCGTTGCCATGATGAGGAAAGGCAATCCGGAGATGGTCCCAAACAAACGTCGCAGATAAGATTTTTCAACGTTACATTGACATGTGTTTTTCCAGCTTGAGGACATGATTTGTTGGTCTAACTAGGGCGTGTTGCAACTGGGATTGAAAAATGTTCTCAGTTTGGCTACCTGGAATCACGGCGACAGTTCTTGCTTTCTGGATTGGTCTGTGATTTGTCTATACCTGCCTTTACACAAAAAAATGAGTTAGATTGTCATCATTTTGCTACATAATTATACTACCAGAATGTGTGATTATTTACTCTTTACTTGTTTCCAAATTAAGCACAAGGGCATTTGTCATTTACAGATTGGATTTTATTCTCTCTCTCTCTGAGTTATGAGCTTCCTTAACTTCTATCTTTTTTTTTTCTTTTATTTATATATTTTTTGAGAAATGTCTACCTTGTTTTACAATGCAAAGGACCATGAACAATTTGCGTGACTCATGTACCATATTAGAAAAACAATTCAAGTCTAGCACATAATCCAATTTATGTGCACTTAGAATTTTTCAAAATTATTTAATGTCATGAGACCAGTCATTGGGAATGTTAAAAAAAATTGTATTTAGTGATTTTTTAAAATTATGTTCATATTTTTTTTTTACTTTTTAGGTATATTTAAATTAAATAAATTTTAAAAGTAAAAAAATAATGCTTGAAATAATTCAAAAAGCCCACTAAATTACGTAATAGCGCAACAATCAATTTCTAAACAGAATAAAAGTTTACCATTAGAATTTTTATTGAAATATTTACTTAAATCAATGCGTAAGAACTTCAATCATGAATGGAGGATATAATTTAAATGTATTCTAGAACTTTTTTTTAACAAAATCAAACTATTTTAACTTAATTTGTTAAAACTCATTTGAAATTGACTTGAATGATAAATAAATTAAACTTTTAATATATTTTTTAAGCTCTTTAAATTTTAATTGTTTGAAAATTTTTAAATAAATTATATTTTATTTTAAATTTTTTTATTTAAAATTATGTCAATTCTTTATTTTTCTAGTGTACCTTGTCTAGATGAACATTTTTCACACACACTGAGTGAGAGAGAGAGAGAGAGAGAGAGAGAGAGAGAGAGAGGGGTAAAATTATTTTTTAAATCAAAACTAAACTGATAAAGCTTCCACAATCAACTAAAAATCATAATAATATACGTAAATACAAAAAATAAAATAAAAATTTAGAACACTTTGCTATTGATAGCTTTGAGAGCCTTTCCAATTTGCTTGACATTTCTGGTCAACATCTTCACGTTAGCAAAGAACCCTTCTTGCCTGTACGGCATCAACAACCGCCTCCTCCGATCTCTCTCCTGCGCCACCGTCACTCCTCCTCCGGCCACCGGCTGCTTCACTCTTCCGGAGACGCAGTAGGTTCCTGCCGGAACTCCGTCGAGCTCATCTCTGCCAAAAATGGGGTAAACAGGAATGATCTCATCGGCAGGGGTGGGGAACTCAAAATCTTCATCTTCATCTTCGTAGCTCTTCCTTTCTTCTTCTTCTTGGACCCCTGGCATCTGATCAGTCTCAGTTTCGTGCGTTTTACCTCTTAGCATCAACAACCGCCTCCTCCGATCTCTCTCCTGCGCCACCGTCACTCCTCCTCCGGCCACCGGCTGCTTCACTCTTCCGGAAACGCAGTAGGTTCCTGCCGGAACTCCGTCGAGCTCATCTCTGCCAAAAATGGGGTAAACAGGAATGATCTCATCGGCAGGGGTGGGGAACTCTTCATCTTCATCTTCATCTTCATCTTCATCTTCATCTTCATCTTCATCTTCATCTTCATCTTCATCTTCATCTTCATCTTCATCTTCATCTTCATCTTCATCTTCATCTTCATCTTCATCTTCATCTTCATCTTCATCTTCATCTTCATCTTCATCTTCATCTTCATCTTCATCTTCATCTTCATCTTCATCTTCATCTTCATCTTCATCTTCATCTTCATCTTCATCTTCATCTTCATCTTCATCTTCATCTTCATCTTCATCTTCATCTTCATCTTCATCTTCATCTTCGTAGCTCTTCCTTTCTTCTTCTTCTTGGACCCCTGGCATCTGATCAGTCTCAGTTTCGTGCGTTTTACCTCTTAGCATCAACAACCGCCTCCTCCGATCTCTCTCCTGCGCCACCGTCACTCCTCCTCCGGCCACCGGCTGCTTCACTCTTCCGGAGACGCAGTAGGTTCCTGACGGAACTCCGTCGAGCTCATCTCTGCCAAAAATGGGGTAAACAGGAATGATCTCATCGGCAGGGGTGGGGAACTCAAAATCTTCATCTTCATCTTCGTAGCTCTTCCTTTCTTCTTCTTCTTGGACCCCTGGCATCTGATCAGTCTCAGTTTCGTGCGTTTTACCTCTTAGCATCAACAACCGTCTCCTCCGATCTCTCTCCTGCGCCATCGTCACTCCTCCTCCGGCCACCGGCTGCTTCACTCTTCCGGAGACGCAGTAGGTTCCTGCCGGAACTCCGTCGAGCTTATCTCTGCCAAAAATGGGGTAAACAGGAATGATCTTATCGGCAGGGGTGGGGAACTCAAAAGCATCATCTTCATCTTTATCTTCATCTTCGTAGCTCTTCCTTTCTTCTTCTTCTTGGACCCCTGGCATCTGATCAGTCTCAGTTTCGTGCGTTTTACCTCTAAGCTGCTCTTCCAAATTACTGTTCTGCTCTTCCAATTCTCTGACCCTGTTCTTTGCACCTTGAAACGCGTTCATAATTTCATATACACGGCTCTCGAAGTAGCCGTAGTCTCCCTCAATCGCGCTGAGATTCTCCATCAGCAACTTCACTTCATCTCCTTTCTGGGTACGCAGAGAATCCAGCTCAAGTTCTAAACCCCTCATTCGAGCTGATGTTTCACTCTTATGGGTTTCATGCATCTCGGTGTGACTCGCAAGTTCCCTTTCTCTCTCACCCAATTTCTCCCTCAGCTGGCTACATTCGGTGACAAGTTCTTGTAAAAGCTTTGAATTCTCACCATTCAACGTTTCAGCTTCCATCTTTAAATCACTGATCATCTTCTCTGCTTCCTTCTCTTCAGTAGTTTCTGTCAACTCCCTTTTCAAGTCAGCCACTTGAAGTTCTTGCTTAATTTCATCTGTCACCATCTGAAACTCATTTTGCAATTCTCCATTTTTACTGCCATTTTCCTCTGAAGAATAAGCTGAATCCGAGTCCAAGCCGGAGGAAGAAAAATAAGAAACATAATCTGTATTCCCATATTTTTCATCCTCAACTAATGTCTTCTCCACAGACTTCCTGCCGCAGCTGCCAAAAATTGATCGCAGAATCCGGGAAAATTTTGAGGGTTTTTTAATAATGGATCGTGGTGGTGGTTGAGAAAAAACAGCTTGCTGATCCATTGGGAAAAAAGACAGAAGACAGAGATGTAACTCTTGGGAAAAAAGACAGAATTGGGGTAGAGATGCAGAGATGTAGGGAGTGCCTTTTATGGTGAAAGGTAGTTCATTTTTTCCCATATTCTTGCTTTGGTAGGTTCTTTTTGCCTTACAAAATTTGGGTATCAAATGGAAAGTATTGACATTTCCATTCCACATTTCCTACACTCTCTCTCTCTGTGTACGTGTGTGTGTGTGTGGGAGATGAATGTTTCATGATCAACATTTCTTAAATTGCAAAGTAAGCTGAGTAGCTAACATTTTTTGGAGGTAATGGGGGATGAAAATTTCCTTGTAGTCATCCTATTGTGTTATTGTGTTGAAAATAAATTAAAATAAATTGCTGATTTGCATTGATAGTGGAGTCAGATAAGGTAGGATTTCTATTTCAACTTTCATTTCCTAACTCTCTCTCTCTGTCTGTCATTTTCAATGGGATTATCTGTTTGACAGTATGTATTTGATTTCCTTGTTCTGTTGCCCCAATACAATTTAATATTTGGCTCAAACTATGTGGTGTCTTTGTTTTGTTGTTCTGCTATAATTTTATCTTGTGCTTACCATGTGTTTGATAATATGCCCAACCCAATAATTACATACTTTCATTAATGGATGATGACAACCTTGCTTTTTTATTAGTTTGTTCTTCTTGTCTGGAATATTTTTTTACCACTCTAATCAACAAGATGACTTCATTGGATTTCCCCTTTGGGTTCAAAATTGTAGCTAATGAAAACTACGTAGTAGGGTATTTGTAAAAAGAAAATTATTGTTGTTAAATTTCAACCATTGTGGTTATATTGGTGTAAATTTTATGAACCATTGGTAGTGATAAATATTATGACACCTTTGAGCTACTGTTACCTAACACTTACCACAAACATTTGCCCATCCCATGTTGGCTTTGAAAACATAAGAGGTTTTTAGGGTTTGGAATGATGTGAGAATAAATCAGAGAAGAAGTCTACTATTTAAAAAAAAAAATATTTATACAAATGTATCTAGAATGATGTGAGAATAATATTTTCAATGCTATGTTAGTTTTTGTCAAAACAAATGGCAGTAGTAATATCAGTAGTGAATTGCTGAATATAATCTCTTAAGGAGATTTTGAGCATATCACCAATACTGTGGAGCACTCCTTCAGTCATAAATTTATATAAAAAAAGTAGTTACCTGACAATAACAACAATATATATAAAGTGGTCATTGGTCATTGAGTGTGTGAAAGCTTACTAAATATTAAAATTAACTACATGAATGATGGCAGGGTGAGGTGTCTTATCCTGTTGAGGGACTTGTGTAAGGAAGTGGGAAGAAGATTGAGATAATCTGTTGCCATGAAAGCTCCTAATATGCTGATTATGAGCACTTGCAGAGTATTGGCATTGAAGCCACCTCCAAGAGCGACAAGAAACCCATCTTTTACTCTTGGTTTTGTGATAACTTCTACCCATATTTTGCTGCAAATGAAGTTAGGTTTCCTCCTCCCCTCAACTCTCTGTGTACTTTGAATCTTGTATAATATCCTGATATAAGAGATGGAAAATCCTGAAAAGGAAGAACCAGACAGAAACCATAGAGATTTAGTCATCAGAACTAAATTTAAAAAATAAAATGCTATTCGCTGTTTAGTGGGCAAATATTAGTGCTGGTTTTTCTTAGTGTACCTTTGTAGCTGCTTTGGTTTGTAAAGTGGATTTGGGCTGGTTACGTGTCCTTCAACTTAGCCACACATACGACAGTAGAAAAGACACGAAGCTTCACTTCCAATACCATTCTTCCTAGAAATTTCCCAAAACAATGATCTGATGTTTGCCTATTTCCCAAAGCTCCTCCCTGCAAAATTTTCTTGCAGATTTTGGGTTACCTACGTGGAATTCAAATTATCCACACCGACAATGAAGAAGAAAACAAATTTTATCCATTCGAACAGAAGGGGATTTTGTTTTCCATGCCATGTGTTCCTACAGCATGATTTCTCACAAGATATATATATGTTCTGGATGGACTTACTGTTGCCCTGTTCTTCCCAGCACTGTCGGCATTGGTGCTGCAAGAAAATTGATCCCGTGTGCTGGAAAAGAAATCTGCAGAGTGTGCCAAATTAGTATCCAATTGATGACTTCCATGTCATTTGGCTACAGAGCTTTTTGTGGCGGTGAGTCGGTGACCAATTATATAAACCATATATATTTTATGCGATACCATCTCTCGAACCGGAGTATATGATTTTCTGGCATGCAAAATTTTTTTTTTTTCCCCTTCTATGTAGAGATTTTGATATTAGATTTTTATGTTTTTGTATTGTATTGGTGTTTGTTATTGCATTCACGAATTTCACACATCATCTGCTTGACAATATGTCTATAAGAGTCAAACAAGTAGGTTCAAGTGAGTGTTCATGGACTCTGATCTCTCTTTGATTATGTGTTTCTCCCTCTTTGTTTTGGTATCCGAACTCAATCGATTCATTTGAATTGGGAATTTGTGTGTTATGTTTTGTTAGATCTTTGATTTGGTTTTTTTTTTGAGTTTTGTATCAATGTTTAACTTGATTTTGAAATGGGTTGTTTGCTTTTGTACTAAATGATTGATTTAATGTTTCTATGAACTCATAACTTCATTTATTATGACCTAAGAACATTTTTGGTAATATTTGGTAAAATTAAGGACTTTCTGAGTTGATAACATAGTGTGTGTCAAACAGTATTAACATTAACAACTTGCCCAAAAACAATTGGAGCAGAAGAGTTAGCGACTAAAGAAGCCCCCATATTTGTGTAAAAATTTTAAATATAGCAAATCAGTTAAATAATAGCCAGATGTCCCGCTTCCATCTCCATACTGAAATAAATCACCACACTGATTACTCTGTGAAGAGCATTCAGCAGCTGCAGCTTGAACTACATAAGCACATATTGGGTTAGAGCAAGAAACCAGAGACGCAATTGACAAACTGATTACGCTGTGGTGGATGAACTGCACCCGTCCAAAAATAAATAAATAAAACATAGAATAAATAATAAATAAGTAAATAAAGATAATAAAACTTTTTAGGAGTGTAATATGGGGAGGGGATATTGGTTATAATAATTGCATATGTGAAGTTATAATTCTGTCAATTGTTGGTGTTTCTCTCTTGTTCTCATGCTGCTAGGCAAGATTTAAGCCTAGGGCCCTAATCAATCTGTACCAAACCGGTTGATGACCTGAGCCAAGACCTTAGAGATCTTTTTTTCTTTGTTCTATGTATATCAGTGAATGCAGCTCATTTTGTTTTATTTTTATTTGGACAATGCATGTGATCATATTGTCTCCCCTCACAAAACTCTTAAACAAGCTTTTACTGATTTTGTTTATGAACAGATATCCAACAGCAAAATGAACAACACTGTGAATAGGAAATAGAGGAAATTAAGAGGGGAATCAAGTCTGGAAACATTACACCAGATGCTTCAAATATCAGATTCTCAGATAAGGTACTTGATGAGCAAAAGCATGCCATCAAGATTTCTGATGAGAAGGTGGCTTTGGCTGTTGCAGCATATGAGTTGGTACAAAACATGGCACTCTGTCATTCCGTCTCTGCTAAGTGACCACATTTGTTATATTGATGATTAGCATATGTCGTGGTTCCATAATTCTTAGCTTTTTTTTTTATATTTTTTTTAATTCATTAATTGTTAGTGGCTAAAATATCTTAGTGGATATCTTGTTCCTGAGTTTCCTTTCGACTCAACTTAACAAGCCTTAACCCCATTTTCTTGGGGTTGGCTACATGGATTGGTCATTAGTTGGCATTATTCAAAGCCACATCCCAACTACTTGAGTGCAGTTTCTTTCTTTTTTTTTTTTTTGACTGGACAGTAGTTTTGAAGCCTAGCTGGTATTTGGGTGGCATCCCAATTAACCTAGGAGTAAGTGTTTTAGACATGTTTTAAGTTGTAGTCAAGCATTTTATTATTTGTAACCTATTCTGCAAGTAATAGTCGACTGTTTATAACCTGCCTATTGTTTATTGAATATAACTTGAGCCATGTCCTTTTTGAGGAATATATTGATTTTCTGCACCATACAATTCTACAAGTAGGGCCCTTTAAGGATTTCATCACTCTTTGTTTAATGATTATGTCTGATTTCTACAATGAAGCTCTTAATGAAATTTGTTCTTGAGTATATTTCTTGGTCTTTATTGGATTGAGTCTCACATAGACTCTCCATTCCAGACATCCACCCATCTTGATTTTATTTGAAAATAGGTTGAATTCTTGGGAAAGACTATGGTACACATGAAGGGTGTGTACCATATGCACCCGTATGCACCTGATAACTAAAGAAGACAATGGCACAACTTCATGCTTTTTGAGTCCCAACTTAAAAAAAAATAAAAAATAAAAAAACCAATAACCAAACAACACATGAGGCATAACCAAAGATCTCAAGAGTCATAACTAAAATAAGATCATAACTAAAGAAGTTAATTGAATATAACTTGAGTAGAATTTCCCTAAATTCTTTTACCCATATATCATTTCCTGCATGTGTAAGGACATCTATATTTCATTATGGTCATTGTGAGATTTTGATGAATGAATTTTTGTTAGAACGTATGTGTTCATTGAATTTTTATGCAGCAATGGAACATTTCATAGATCTTGTTTTTACATCAGTTGTAAGTATCTCATGGATTGAGTTGAAAATTTCCCCATTTTGTTTTTTGGTTAGAGTGTATATTGTGATTATGAAACAGGTAGATGCTCAAGTTCAACAACTTGATCAATATCTGAAAAAATTTGATGAAGAGCTTCAGTGTGGTATGTTTCTTTTAGCTTATGCATCGTCTTCTATGTTTTGCATGTAATGGTGGCCTTATTTGAAATGTTGCTTTTCAACTTGTGGCAGAAAGAGAAAGTGCTGCTACAACTGGGTCAGCTGCTCAAAATCTCAAAAATAATGTTAAAGCTACCAGTGGCAGAGGAAGGTGTAAGACGTAACTACCTTTCCTACACCTGGATTTTCAAAGTCCTTGCTAGATTTATTTAGACCTCACATTTAGGCTATTGAAGCTTTTGATCCTGATTGCTTTTTTGCTTTTTGGGAGCTGGATTTGAAACTTGATAATTACTATGGTTATTGTTACAACTTTTAAGGTAATGGAGAGAGGGAGAGATTAGATATGAAGATTTAATTAGATAATGGAAAACACAAGAGAAGATAAGGAGTTGGCATAGTAGCAAGACACGGTTTTGCCTTAGCTGATATCAAGAATCAGAGTATATGGGCCAATTGTTATTGAATGGTCAATGAACTTTAATTGAGTGAGAGTGATTGATATTTTAGAAAAATTATATTAAAATTTTGAATGAGAATCATGATTGGTGGCCTGTAAGTAGTAATGAAACTTGATAACAGGCACCATTTATTTGTATAGATGTCTGCATATTATGCTTAATTACTAATTTGTAAATTTTGGTGCTTACATTAATGTTTTTTGTTGAAAATACCAATTAAATCATATCAATCCACTTTTGAGTTTTTGATTGTTAGTCGCATCTCATTTTGGGTTTCCAATTAATATCCAACTTTGAGTTGTAGTTAAATAGAAGCACTGATAGGTAAAATTGTATTTATAATCGTGTAGTAATTGTTACCCTTTTCTTCTTTTTCTTTTATTTACTCCTCTTTCTCGACAAGGAACTATGTTGCTATTGTTTTAAATAAATTACTTTAATATGATTTTGTTGATCTATATTATCACTTTTCTCTTGGATTCATCCTAAATCTAAGAATCATCTTTCATCGTCAAAATCTGCAATATTTTATGGTTAATGGTTATTTAGCTAAGTTCGCTACCATGGGTTTAAGAAACACAGTAACTGATTGAACATTCTGTTGGCTTGCTTTTATAAATAAGCTGAGAACTTTTAAATCATAAGAAGGAAGGTGTGGCAACCTTGGTGCTAGAGAGAAGGAAAAGAGAGACGGCAAAAAGCAATTCTTCCAGCTAGCTAGCCCACATAGTTCCAGTTTATGATAACAATGGGCCAATTTGTTTGCCGGTTTAAAATTTTATAAAATGTAAGATGTAATTATGATTAATAAAATATAAAATATTGTGTATTTGATGTTATTTTTTTAAAAGAAAATATTGTATCTTTGCCTTGCTATATTATTTCTATTAACGATAATACAACCCCCACGCGCGTAGCACGTGAGGGTCCAACTAGTAGTATATAAAAATATGCTATCAATCAGTGCTTTGATGTCATATGTATTGTACTACTAGTCAAAAGACTTGTTTTGGAAAACACTACTTCAGCTTTGGCGATAGCCATGGCCAATTATTAATGCCATTGGCAATTTCTCTGACACGGTTGTCACTGAACAAGACTGTCTTGAATTGTTGAACAATCTCATTCGTAATGATGCGTCTAATCAGGCTTGTAGGCCTTTTGTTATTATTTTTGTTTTGACGCATACACATTCCTTCACTACTACTAACCATGGTCTGGGTGTGGTGTAGGTATTGCTAAAGGAGACTATGGGCTTTGACCCTTTGATATCAATTTTGAAGCTTAGAGGAAGTAGCTACAGTTTCACCCAACAGAAGGTTAGACACCCAGATTTTTAGAACTTTGTTCACTTCTTGTAGTTTAAACTGCCATATATGTGCGTGGAGAGACATACACATGTATGTGTTATCACTGAAACCTTACTGATCATTTTTTGTTGTCTTTGAACCAATATGATGCTAGTAGACGATAAACCTTCTCAGTGCTTTAGAGACCGTCGGTTTGCTAATAATGGGAGGTCCAGAAATTGACACTGGAAAGATGTCAATAGGCTGACCAATAAAGCAGTCTTGGTTCAGGTTTGTTTCAAAATAAGTTATCTGCTATAATGAATACCTTTATAATTTTGTAAGATTTCTCTCACTGGTCTATGTATATTATTGGTTGTAGAAAAAAGTTTTTGACCATCTTTTAATGCTACGAGTAGAAAGCCAATGGGCTCCTGTTCCTGTGCGATGTATGGTCAGATAACATTCTTTTTCTTCTTGTGGGTGTGTGTGTTTTAAAGAATACCCTTACAACGAGATATCATGAGGAACACCCTCTTGGATGCTAGGTTACTTAAATTACTTGTACGTTTTATTGGTAATGTAGATTGTGCAATCTGAGTTGTGTCACTCGTTTCAAAGAATGTTAAAAGATGGTGATTATTACATCTCCATTTCTTGTTCTATAATGTTCTATAATATTTAATGGAAAGCGAGAATATAATTGATAGACCATTAGTAAATACAAAGTCCCTTCTGAAGATGTGTTTCACCAAATACTCTTTTTCCTGGTTGAGGGAAAACAAACATGGACTTGGATATAGCTTGTGCCATTCCAATAGAGTATTGCAAGTGAGTCTATCCTGTTAAATGACACTGTGTAAAGCTGTAAAGTAAATGGTACATCTATGAAATACCCATCCTGTATGGCAATGATTGATGTTCCTAGGAATTTTGCTTTGATAAATAGGTAAAAAAATGAGAGTCTTCTCTTATGGTGAACTTGTAGGCACTTATTTGCAAGAATAGCTTACTGTGGGCGATGTATCTGCTCTAAAATAGCGATTCCACAGTTAAGAGCATGAATCGAGTTGGAATTGCATTTCCATCAAGATAGAATTGAGGTTCCAATTGTGATGGGCCCGTTCTCAAGCATATGAATCCAAAAGATACAAATGAAAATCAATGCAAAATAAATAAATAAATAATACCAAAGCAAAGCCACCAGGGCAACTGAGATGAGACTGTTCTCAAATACTTACCTGATGCTAGTTTCCTATGTCTGTGCTCTTTAGAGTAAGTTGTATAACTAGGAACTTCTCATTCTTTTAAAGAAAATAAATAAATAAATAAATAAAAGGTTAGAATACTGGCTAAGTATATCAATAAATGTATGCCCTCATGCACGTAGTTGGGCTCAGAATTATTTATTTAATTATTTAGACTCCTTGGACCATAGAAAATGCTATTTCCTGCTTATTACTAAATGGCTTGTTTAAGGCATATAAGTCTAGCAATAACTAATAAAGTAATTAAGTGTTTTACTAACTTTCATGCATTTTTTCGCAGAATAGAGATCTACTAATGAGCTTTATGTTAAAATTATTGCATGAAATAAAACGCATGATCATTAACAACCATTTACTTATATACCAACAAAAAGAAACTTCTTGGTGCATCACCAACTTTAGAAAGGTGCAGAGTCTGTATAAAAAATTTCCAGGACTTCTAACATGCACAGAAGCTTTTTATTTATATGAGGCACTTAGATGCATCGGTGATCTGATTGCCAGTCATACTAAGAATCTTGATGCCCTGGCAAGCAAAGTTCTTGAAGAGGAGCCACAAGTAGAGCCTGCACTGAATTCTATCCTTCGAATCATCTTGAGGACTTCCAGCATGCAGGAATTTGTAGCAGCAGACTATGTTTTTAAGTGCTTTTGTAAGGTTTGTGTGGGGCATATTCATTTTTTCTTTTTCTTTTTCTACTTCATGAACTTCCCTACTGGATTGAATTTCTCGGTCATATATACAATTGCATCTGATCATATATATTCTTTCATTATTTCCTATTTTTCCTTCTTTCAAATTTTTAAATTATATTTAAATGGTTGATTTATCGTATTTGTGGCAGAAAAACCCTGATGGTCAAGCAATGCTTGCATCTACATCAATCCCTCAACCGCAGCCAACGACTCATGCTCTGCCTGAGGATGTGAGAACATGTCATTTGGAAGGTCTATTTGTCCTCCTCTTTGCAATCAGTACCTTATTTAATTTTGTTTTTTTTGAAGTGTAAGGGAATATTCTGTTTCTTGGTTGGAAGATGTGTGCATTTATTCAATTCTTTCTGTTAATTATTTTTTTATTTTTATAACTTTAATTTGGACTTCATGCTTCTGATGATTAATTCTTTGAAGAATTTGTTTGTGGTAGCATGCTATTATATGGTCTCACTTTGAGTCAAAATGATGGTGCCCTTGAGGTAGCGTGTACTTTTCATATCTTACCTTTCTAGATTAAAGACATGAACATAATCACATAACATATATCTTTTCTATTCTTTTTTTTTTCTTCTTCAAGATGAGGATACCATTCTGCATAACTAGATAGTGTTTTGCGTTTTGTCTTCTGACATTCTGTGCTCAGGTTTTTTTTATGAGTTGGGTACAAGTCAGTTTGGAGTATTTAATTCTCATCGAGTATTCTTGTGCATTTGGAACGATATAAGTAGGAAATTATTGTTGAACCCTCAATTCTCAAGATGTGCTTCCCTTGCTACAGGGCACCTTTCCCTTTTAGGGGGTAGGAGGAATTGGCCTCTTTTCTCGTTGATATTGTTAGTGGGTTAGGTTTAGTGGAGTAGGTTTAAGTGGGTGAGTGTGTAGTAGGTAAGGAGTAGGTGAAGTGGAGGTGGTAGTGGTGTAGTGGGTTTAGTGGAGTAGGTGAGGTGGTAGTGGTGTAGTGGGTGTTAGGTTTAGTGGAGTAGGTGAGGGTAGTGGTGTAGTGGGTTAGGTTTAGTGGAGTAGGTGAAGTGGAGGTGATAGTGGTGTAGGTTTAGTGGAGTAGGTTTAAGTGGGTGAAGTAGGTGGAGAGTAGGTGGATTTTAACATTCATCTTTTCTCAATGAATTATTTATTCATAATAAACTCTCTTTGAAGCCTTTTGTTTTAATCTAGGATAAGTATCTTGCAAAATTTTCTCTAAATGTTGTCGTCCTTAGCAGTGGCAGAGCCACAAAAATGATTAAGAAGGGACACTTGGTAATTAAAATTTTGAATTTTTTTTTCTCATAATCAATAACAATAGATTATAATTTTTAAATTAGTATTAAGCACAAAATCTTAAATATTTAATATAAAAGCTTTGAAATTTTTGTTTTTACAATTGACCTTGTGAAAAATCAAAATTGGAAATATATGGTGTCATTTATAACTAGTGTATTATAAGCAATGCAAAAGAGTCTTGTATGTCTAATGATAGATTATATAATAATATATAAATAATAATGATACTATATCATCATCAGTATATGGTATCACTAACCAATAGTAAAATAATGCATAGAAGGTCAATCTTACTTGTCAAATATAATTAACAATTCAATAATTTCTCATTTTCGTAGTGGGGTTAAATATGTTTACATGTAAGTGACGATTTGATATCATCGTTGCACTGAATTTTTTTTATAAATTTTTCATACATAATAATGTGCCTTGTTGTAGTTTCTTCATTTTCAATCAAGACAACCATTATTATTTTCGTAATTTGAAAAAAGTAATTAAGAAATCATTCTAAATGTTATTTCTATATATATTTTTTTATTTGTTAATTATTTTCCTTATATGCAAAAAAAAAATGAAAAAAGAATTGCAAAAAATGAGGGGGGGCACGTGCCCCCCACCGGACCCTTCATACCTCCGCCACTGATCTTTAGGCCCTTTTTTTTCCTTCTTTTACTCAAGTTTTTGGGTCATGACACCATATGCCTTTTGGCTCGTAAGTATTTATCTTGACCATACAGAACAAGTTTTTTTTTTTTGTGTTATTTTTTTTTTCTTGGTGCTTTGTTTGTGAGATTCATCCAAAGAATGTTCTGAAGTGCGGACTTGTTCCAGAGCTGCTAGTGTTCTTTCTCATGTGCTAAAGGACAATATGCAATGCAAGGAGAGGGTATGCAATCTCACCTTGTTTTTTCTTCTAGTATTATTAGGGTCAGAAAATGTATGGAGAACAACTGTTTCAGAATACTAGTTATCTTTACATTTTAGGGTCAGATAATATACTAAACCTGTTAACATTGCCCCCCCTCCTATCTTAACGTAAAATTTACTGCAGGTTTTACGAATTAAATTCGAAGAACCTACACCATCTTTAGGAGCCCCAGAGCCATTATTGTACTGTGTAGTGAAATACTTGGCTCTTGTTTCTTGCATGAAAAGTAAAGAAGGAAAACTAAATGCATCAGGGAATACATATGTACAAGCAATTATTTTGAAACTGCTAGTCATTTGGCATTCAAATTGCCCGAGTGTGGTGCAGTGCTTCCTAGATTCACGTCCTCATCTTACATATCTGCTAGAGTTGGTATCAAATTCAACCACAACAGTGTGTATAAGGGGGTTAATAGCGGTTATATTAGGAGAATGTGTTATTTATAATAAATCCAGTGACAGTGGAAAGGATGCTTATACCATAGTTGATGCCACAAGTCAGAAAGTGGGGCTCACATCATACTTTTTGAAGTTTGAGGAGATGCAAAAAAGCATAATTTTTTCTTCTGCAAAACCGGCTGAGCCCCAGAAACCATTGACAAGATCCACCGTTGCTAGTATAGCTGAGATTGAAGATGTCGAAGAGAATAAGGCGAGTGATCTGAAGAATGAGGATCATCCGATGCTTGCTTCGATGTTTGATGCTCAGTTTGTTGACTTCATCAGGAATTTGGAGGCAGATATTAGAGAGAGCATTGTAGATGTCTATAGTCATCCAAAGAGCAATGTGGCGGTAGTGTCAGCAGAATTGCAACAGAAAGGTTGGGAAAGTGATGGAGACTATGTTAAACGGCTGAAATCATTTGTAGAGAAGCAGTGCTCTGAGATAACGGTATGGTTGCATGAAATTATTGGCATATATATATATATATTTACTTATATTTTGGTTTGTTTATGTTTTTCAAAGGATCTTCTTAGTCGCAATGCGACCTTAGCTGAAGACCTGGCCAAGATTGGTAGGGGTGGTTCATCCCAGCCTGAGCATAGATCTAGTGGGGGCTCAGAAAGAGTCCAGTTGGAGACACTCCATATAGATCTTCAAGAGGCATCACAACGGCTAGACACGCTTAAAACAGAGAAAACCAAGATTGAATCCGAGGCTTCAATGTACTGTAATTTGGCTGGTAAGATGAAATCCTATCTGAAAAGCTTGTCCGATGCTTATAACAATCTTGAACAGGCAAATTTCCATCTAGAAAAGGAAATTAAAGCTTTGAAGAGTGGAGGGGCCACACGTATTCCAGATGTCAAGACTGTAAAGGCAGAAGCATGGGAAGAAGCCCAAAAGGAGAGCGAGGCAGAATTGAATGATTTGCTTGTATGCCTCGGGCAAGAGCAGAGCTAGGTAGAGAAGCTGAGTGTGAGATTGTTAGAGTTGGGTGAAGATGTAGACAAATTACTTGAAGGAATTGGTGATGATATTGGGCTTCTGGAAGATGCTGAAGTCGAGGAAGACTGATAGCCTCATGGGTTGATCTTTTGTACATCTTTAGTGAGTTGTACAGTACTTAGTCTCCAATTGTTTTTATAATGTTGACATAGTTGAATCTAAATTAGTTATTCTTTGGGATTGTCTTTTGTTGGTGGAAACATGATGTGTATTTTATTGTTGAAGCCTCCCAAGAAGATGTATATTGACAGTAACTTCCAGTATTGATCATTTTTTCCAACTCTATTAGCATGTTAACTCCATTTCAATCTCATAAACTATAAGAGGTTTTTTTTTTTTTTTTACATCCAATGCAATATCGAATGCAGTGGTTTGAGTTGACTTTTTGTTGTATATATTTCACTATTTTCCAACATTCATACTACATTTAGTGTTCTAGATTACATGACTCTTATAAATACATATACGATTATACGAGATGACAATCCGCTTTTTGAATGCTAATAAACATATTCCTCTTTCCTTCCTTTTCCTTTTCCTTTGCCTTTGCCTTTGCTTTTTACATCAATAAAATTCTTTTTTTTGTTGAATAAAACCCCCTCTTTCTATAAATTAGATCTCACCACTTTCAATCTTAATCGGGCAATTAGTATATACTATATGCATTTATACTTATTTAAGTGGATCTCATTTTTTCATAACACACACTTAAACCTTAATGTTTGAGTGCCCATACATTTTCTCCATGAACAAATCCTTTACACAAAAATTGGACTCCAATTTTAGTGTCGGTGTTGTCAAATGCTATGGTGTATGCTGACTGTGTCAATGAGTTAGCAGCTGAGAGGGGAGAGAAACGAGGGGAAGAATAGATTGTGGTTGGGAGGGAGTGAGCATTTTTTTTTTTTTTTAATATTTTTTTTTCACATTTATACACATTGGATATCACACATATTTAACACACTTCAACATTTCTATTAAAGTAGCTCATTCACTAAATTAATAAACACTTTAATACACAAAATCAAGTCCTGTTTTTACTATTTTTTTGTCATTAATACACAAATTTAAGGTTTCCTTTTAAGAATGCTCTTTCAAGAGCTACTATACAAATTTGGATAGCAGACTAGAGAAGAACTAGCTGGTGAGGGTGAGTATTGATTTTGTGTGAAATAGAAATGGCTCATTTCTAAATATGAAACCAACTTATGGAAGTCTGGGGCCATTAATTTTTATTTTTATTATTATTATTTTTTTATGGTACTTTTCTAGGCTGGGAGATGAAGCCTAATTAGATTTCACCGACAACTCAAGTTTCAACACCCACATAATAAAAATAAAAATTGCAAGAGGGAGAATTAGCATATGTTATTTTAATAATGTTGATCAAATAAAACTAATGCAGCTGGAGTGTAGATATAAAAATAATTAAGTATTATATATATATTTAAATGTAAAATCTGTGACAATATCATTTTTTTCACTAATTATGTTGAAAAATAAAAAAGGATAAGCGATTGATAACAATATAACCAGGTTTTTGACTCTTTCATTGTAAAGATATTATTCTACCTTTCATTATCTTTGAAATTTTCTGAAAGTCTCATTTGATACCTAATAAATTTACTTTTTTACTCTATTTGGGTGTGTACAAAGTCCCAAAAAATCTGTTTTTTTTTTTTTTTTTTTAAATTTCTGGACCAAACACGTCTAGTTTTTCAAACTCCTTTTTTTCAATTGAATTGATATAATCTGTACCAACTTTTAAATACATATAATCCAGCATGAAAGACATGTAATCTTCTTTTTACTTGGTGAAAAATAAAATTAAAAAAACCAAACTAATGACCAGTGATAGCTATACAAGAGGAATCTATGTCAAATGAAAATGCACAAAAGTAATACTATAACAAAACAAACATGTATAGGTCACAAAGTAAACCCCATTTGAGAAGGCCTTCTTTGGCAACAACTAATAAACTAAAAACTCATATGTTCCACCTACCAAATGAGGATTAAGACCTGCAATAATACATATTCAATATTTTGAATAGGTAAAATATACTTTTCATCCTTAAATTTTCACCTAAATTTTGTTTTGATTTCTCACATTTTAATTGCAATAATTAAGTCTTTAAGTTTCAACTTAAGTTTCAATGTAGACAGGCCTCTTCCATCACTCCATAATTAAAATTTTAGGTGAAAGTTCAAAAATGACGGGCTAAAGTGGAATTTGAGAAAAAGTTGAGAGAGTAAAATATGTAATTTTTTCCCTTTAATTGCTGAAAAGCATGCCTGCATAGCCATTATGTGGGTACTTTTTGTCTATTTTTTAATGGTTAGTAATAAGAGGATTGCATTGAAATAAAGTTTGAAATTTAAGGACTTAATTGCTAAAATTAGAAGATGGGAGAACAAAATTAAAATGTAAATAAAAGTTCGATGATAAATTAAATAAATAGGAGAAGAAAATCAAAAGTCTACTTAAAGGGACAGGGCTCAACTGGAACACCACTTCTCCTAAAGGTTCTCTTCCAATAATAACATATGACAACGAGAGATCCACTATTAACTCACTCAAATAATATCAAAATCCTTTATTTATTAAACTAATGTTTGTGTTTGAATTATGAATTTAGATAGAGATTTAGATCCAACACTTATTTTGTTTTGACAGAAATCATTTACATTTTTTTTTTCTTACAAAACATTTCCTTGAAACTAATATTCTATTCTAGTACTAGCAATTCAATGTAAAAATACAAATATCCTTTAAACATAATAAGTTACAGTTCTTAAAACAATGCAATGTCTATAGAGTTATATTTTTGGGGGTTTGGGATATATTTGTCTCTATCAATTAGAAGTTGGGTAAATTAATCCTTGTAATTTGCCCTTGTGTGAGTTTAGTCCATGCAATTTTAATGGTAATTAATGTTTTTTTAATTTTTCACAATGTGTCAATTAATCAAATTGATAACATTTGTTAAAAATATAAGACAAAAATTAATAATAAAATGATTCAATACAAAAAGAGTGGACTATTTTAAATTGCACGTTAACTTATCAATCACTTTGTGGAGAGTTACGCTCTGTTTGGTTAAAGGATTTAGGAAGGATTTTGAAAAGAAAAAGAGAAAAAGTGTGTGAAATTAGGTAAAATGTACATGTATTTTATTCACATTTCACCGTTCTTTTCCCTATCCCTTTCCAGATTGTTCCCCAAATCCCTCAATCAAACCCAGCCTTAATGGTCTATTTACCCATTAATTCCTGTCTAATTTCTAGACCGGCATTATAAATTTAACTAAACTGAGACAATGTTAAAATACAAAACTGAAATCGATGCAATTAAGAATCAAACAAACTACGAAAGAGCAATGCTAAAAATTTCAAAAAAATTATTAAAATTTTTATCCAATACTTACACGGATGTGATACCCACACCGCATGGAATCAATATTGTGTAAAAATTTTGTAGTCTCGCATTTTTTGGTGGCTTATTGCTTTGTCGACCAAAAAAACAAAAAAACACTGCAAAACATAAAATAGATAAAAGAGTTATGACTAAGAAAGACTCGCCGAGTTTACTGAAACACAAAGAAAAAAATTGAAAGCTTTAAATTAAGAGTTTTAATAGTTTTAATTGGTATGTAGGTCTCATGTGATATTTTAGATTTTATTTTATTTTATTGTTTAACATTTTTCAAATTATTAGTGTTCTTTTAGAACTTCAAAATTAAAGGGATGTATCATTTTTGGGTGTCAAACAACAATAACAAACAAACACAAATGGGCCCCACAAAGTCTTTGTTCAATTGGTCAACACCAAACTGACCCAAGTGGTAGCCAACTCGAACCTTCTTACAACTAGTCATCACCGACGAGCTCAATTATGTCCACTTGATTTATCCAATTTTATTCTGGATGGTTTTAAAAAGTGATTTTTTCAAAAAAAAAAAATTAAAATTTAACATAAATTATACTCATCTCTCTCTCACAAAATAAGATAAAAAATAAAAAATTTACAATTTAAAATAATTACACGGGTCTCACTTTTAATGAGATTAACCCATTTGAGGTGTTGGCTTTTTTGACTAGGTTAAAAAGCCAAAAAAAAACCAATCACATCTCTCTTAATTTTTTTATACATATTTTCATAAAAAATTAAAATATTAATTAAAATAATCACTTCCCAAACACTCTCTAAATGAACTAAAAAATTAATACACATGATGTAAAAATACAAAAATAAATATGAAATAATATACATTTACATGTATAAGAAATAACAATATCATTTCTCTATTTATATCACTAATGAAAGAAAATCTAATATAATTATGTCAAAATTAAAAAAATATATATATATATATATATTAATGTTTTTTAAAACTTTAGAAAAAAAAAAATTAGTGTAATTACTTTAAAAATAATGTGAGATCAAAATGCATTTTGAGTTTCACTATATTAAAAATAAATTTAGACAATAATTTTATTTAATATATAATTTTTTATGTTTTACTGTGCACCTTGCATTGGCGACAAGCCTAAAAGCTTTAATAAATTATATTCAAATATTATATAATTCTTATTTTGGCAGTTAAATTTTTTAATTTTAACAATTTAATCTTCTAACTATTAATTTTTATTCGACGTGGCTCAATTAATAATTGTCTTCTAGTTCTCTATTGCAACAGCATCACGTGACAACAAAAGTTTCAATAATGTAAAGATGAAAGTAGCTTTTAATCAAAGGGAAATTCATTATCAAATTTTGTTTATCATTTTATTTGATACGTTTGTACATGATAAATACACATATAAATATCATTATAAAAAAATAAAATAAAAAATCCTAAAAATCCTAAGTCAATTCGGAAAAAATATCGAGAAATTCATCCCTCACCTCCTATTTTCAGTCAAAAGAGCTATAAAAAGGTTAGTATAAATTTTGAATCTAAAATCTTAAGTCACCCAAATCGTTATTTTACCAACTTATCTAAGGTTGGGCTTCTAGTCTTTAACCATAATTGGAGAGGTTCGTAAATAATTTATACAGAGTATCTTGCTACAAAAATAAAAATTAAAAAAATAATTGTAATAATTTGTAATTTATAATTGAGCAAATTATAATAATAATCCTTATATTTTGGGTCCTTTAATTCTAATTGACTTTATTTTGATTATGAATTTATGATTTTATCTTAATTTGATTTAGTTGATTAAATTGTTAATTTTTTAAATGAAAAATATACAAATAAACAACATGTGACATTTTTTAAAGTTTTTTAACTCAGTTAGTTAACCTCAACTAAGGCCTATTTTGACAAGTTAGTTAAATGTCAATTTTTTCACTTTTTAGTTTTTTTTAGTCATATCACCTCTTTATTTTTTTTTATACATTTTTTGAAAAAAAAAAGAGTAAAAAAAAAACCTGACTTTTAACTTACTTTTCAAAATACCCCTATCTCCGTGATTATTTTTTTTTTATCAAAAACCCTAACATTTTATCAATTTGACCAAATTGATACAAAATTTAAAATTAAAAAGTTAAGATTAAGTCAATTAAAAATAAATGAATCAAAATGGCACAAGGGATACAAATATGAGGACTACCAGTGTAATTCTTGCATCTCAAAAAAATAAAAATAAAAATCTCAATACATATCTCTTTATTTCAATAATTATTGCATCTTCAATTTAAAAACCCTAATTTTCTTTCATCCACTCACTTTTCTTATACTGTCTTTGCCGCCACTCTCTCCCCTCCATCGTTGTCATTGCCGCCACTTCTAACTCTTCTACTTACACCTTAGACCTCCACATGCAACCATGAAAGTAGGTGCTTTGCTGCAAGGGTTTGTGTTGGGTGGTTGCAAACAAAAGAAAAAATATGTGGCAGGAAGGGATGGCAGAGGAGAGAGGCGGCGCTCGTGATGAAGGATGGTTGTGATGTTTAGAATTATGGTTTGAGTGGAATAAGATAAGAGTATTATGGTATCTTTATTTTAGAATAAACTCAAATTAAGAAAAAATTTCATCAAATATGTGAACTCAAGGAAATTGGTGTTTACAAATAAAATTATCCAAAACTATGCCCAAACATATGAAAAAAAATTTATATGCCAATAGGGACCTATTAAAATTACACATATTAGTGTAAGATTACTATAATCGTTTTCACTATGTATATAAAAATAATTTTTTTTTTAAAAAACACTCAACTCTTTTTTTTTCCAAAATATACACATGATATTATTGATAAAAAATATGAAATAAGATTTGATTTACGATTGCAGTGACGACGACAATGGGGATGGCAATGACGTTGATGAGTAAGACTGAATTGACGACGGCGACAATGATGACAATGATGTTGACGAATGAGGTGTAGCCACCGATGATTCGCCCGGTGAATTCCGGCACAATGGACATGTGGCATGCATCCTAAGCCATTCATCTATGCAATTAGCATGAAAGTAGTGATTGCATTCTGGTATGGTTCTCAAGGTTTCTTTGGGCTGGTACTCGGCCAAACAAATTGGGCAAGTGCCATCATTGGGCTTGGGTTCACCGAGCACAGTTGTTGGGTAGGACTCTATGGTGGGCCGATTGAGGCCCATTATGATTACCATAGGCTGTGGAGTCCAGTTAGAGAATTGAGCTTCAATTTGGCGTTGCTGATTGTATTTCTTGATCCTGCTACAAGTCTAACATGAAAGCCCAATAAGGCAAACAAACCCAGGTATTCCAACTCCAATGATAATCCCATACTTAGCAGCCCTTGGTAGACCTGTAAAATAGTAGTAATTTTGATGTAAAACTATTGACATGCATATATATATAATAAAAATAAAAATAAAAATGAACATTCGGGTTTTATTATTTCAAATTAAAACTCTAGTCAAAGTGACTTATAATTTTAAAGACAAAATAAACATAACATTGTCTTGCTCTAGTTGAGTATTTAGCATAATATTTTTTGTTTAAAGATTACATTTTCTTATTGTCTTTGTGCTAAATAAAGTTAGCAAGAATTTATGATTGTAAATTAAACCATCTCGTAGGGATCCCAAGGTTACAAGAGTGATAAATTATTCATTATTATGTGCGATATGTTGTACATGATATCTTAGTCATAAATTAATGTAGTGTTTACACTAATCAATAATTGAGATATTGTATGTAACATTTATATACACCGAGCCGAATAATCTTCGCAAGAGATTAGAAGGATAGTGAAGGTAGGGATCATTTGGAAGCCTTGGTTAACACCTTCTTTTTTAAAAATATTGTGAATCATAATACAAAGTGGGTGTTTAGAAAATTATTATTTTAGTAGGTTATTTTAGTTGTTGACTATTTTAGGTGTTATTTGGGAAGAAGTTTTTTTGGTTTTTTTTTTTCACTAAAAAACAAATTGGTTACAAAACCAAAAAAATAAATCCAAACAAAATATCATATTAAACTTCATAATCATTTCACTTTTTCTTTCACAAACATCACATCCAACCACAAAAAAATCCAACTATCTTTCCAAACACAAAAAAAAATTTCTCCAATAATATCCTACAACTAAAAAAACCTACAAAAAAAACTCACTTCCCAATCACCCACTTAGTAGGTTAAAATTTTTGTGTTTGGAAACATAATTGGAATTTTTTGTAATTAGATATGATATTTATGGGAGAAAAAGTAAAATGATTATAAATTTGATGTGACATTTTGTCTGATTAGCTATTTTAATCTATTTTGTCATTTTGTAAATTTTAATCCAAAAAACTAAAAAAAACCTTTCACAAACACCCAAAATACCGAGTCAAATTAATTGTTTGTCATCCGAAACTTCCATTTGACTACATGGCTATGGTGCTATTTGGTGTAGCTGTTAAAACAGATTATAGATTATAACTTAACAGATTATAGATTATGACTTTAATCAGAAGCTGTTAATCTGTTTGGTATAGTTGTTGGATTATAGATTTAAGTTGCTGAATAATGTTTGTTAAATAAGCTGTGAAGTTGCTTTTTCAATTAATTTTTATTTTTTATTATTCACTATTTGTCTATATTTTTCATAAAAAATAATAATAATATTTTATAGTCTATTTGGGTCTTTTTCTATTTTTAAAAAAATAAAAAATAAAAAAATCTAAGAGTATAACCATGAATTAACATGTCCATAGCAGAAGCTGATAATCAGAAGCAAGGGGTAAGCAGCTTCTCAGAATCAACTTTTTTGACTTAAAATAAGTTGTTAGAATCAGAAACTGTTTAAAATAAGTTTAACCAAACAGTTCAAAATAACTTTTTAAAAACCAAAAGCCATAAACTAGCTTAAAAAAACCCCACCAAACACCCCTATATGTACAGACTTTGACTCCTTAAAATACAGGAAGGGTTGCATTGTCATGAAAGCAAGATGACAAACACAATTTGAACATCTCCAAATTGGTTGTTAGATTGATGTCGTGTTAATATAATAACTGGAAAAGGAGAAAGTGGTAATCATCATATTTGTGATTATAATTACTTCTTAACATAGTTAGGGAAATCAATGAGACTTGGATTAATCAAAGTTTTTGCACTTCGAGATTAATAGTTCGAATCTTTTTACGTAAATCTAATTTTTTTGTGTAATTATTGAAAAAAAATTCTTCTTACTTTTAGAGTTTCTTTTTGTATGTTATATTAAAATTTTGTCATTATATATTGTCACGAAACAGGGGAGTAATATCCTAGTTAAATTATAAACTTTTAATATTATCGTTTGGAAAAATTCTAAAGATACATATAAAAAATTTGATAAGAATAATGCGACAATGCTATTATTATAAATAAATTCATCTTTAATGATGTTTTGTTTTGAGGTGAAAGCTCTACAATGAGCCATATAGTTATGTACAAAGTTTTTTGTTTATATAGTATTACTCTTTTATTTTTTTTAAAGAAAATACGTATAAAAAAGTAAAAAGAATAATTTGACAACTTATAAAGAGACTATCATCGCTTTGCATCCAAATATAAACACGAAAAAATAAATAAATAAAAGTCTAAAAAGACTATTATTAATTTTATTAAGAAAAAGATAAGTTAGGTGCCATTACCCCCACCAAAATAAATAAATAAAAATGAAATGAGAGCAAAATAAATAAATGAATAGAATGTGTACGGGGAGGAAATAATTCTCCTCGTATAATCCTGTTGACCAAGTCCACGCTCCTCCGTACGACGTCGCTTTGTCACCTGAAAACACAAACGTGAGCTAGCCGGCGGGTGTGTGCCGGAAACCTCTCCGATGCCTAAGTCAGAAAAACTTGACAAATAGACAAAGCTCAATGTTCTCAGAAAGATTGTGTTCAATTACCTCCTCCAAGGTGATGCTTGTGAGCTTTTATAAGTTTCCCGTGGCACAATCCTAGTAGGACTTGTACTTCTCCATGCAGAGTCCTCCTAGGATTCATTCTCCTAAGGATAATGCTTATCCTTTTACACCCTCCCCCACTGCTTAAACCAAGTGGGATGGTTTTCTTTATGGCCGAACTTCCATTTGACCGAAGTAAAATTGGCTATACCGAGCCACAGAGGGCCGAACTATCCTTAGCTCGGTCTTCTCCCCTAACTCCTTACTTCGGCTGTTCTGTTCACCCTTGACGTACTTAGATCAAACTTCCAAGTAACAAGTTCTGACCGACCTAACCATTGTAAGTCACGACCGGACTAACTCCGAAACCGGCCTTCTCAGAACATACTGTGACCGGACTAACTCTAAGACCGGCCCTACTCCGAGTTGTCTCTGGACCGGAGTAGCCTTACTCTTCCTTGGGCCGAAGCAACTATCTCTTCTTGAGCCGGAATAAACTCACCTCCTTGGGCCGAAGTAACCTTGTCTCCCCAAGGCCGGAGTAACCTTGCCCTCTAGGCCGGAGTATTCAGTACGGCCTTTTTACCTAGTCCTCTGCGTTTTGGCTCCATGGTGAGGGGTGGCGTCATGGTGA